CTCCTCACAAACAAGAACAGCCTCTGCAAATCACTGAAAAAAAAAAATCAGGATTTCTTTATAATAAGGTCTTGGGGACAATATTATGAAAGTGTCAGAACTACAAGCCTTCCCCATAAACACGTTAAATTATAGAAATAAAACTGCATGTAAGTGAAAAAGAAAAATCTTAACTGGGCTAAAGGTTGCACTTGATTTGGGTAGAAAACAGAAAAAAGCACCAAAAAATGCACAAACTTAATAAGCAAAACAAAAACTTTGTAGAGGCTGTGACTGAAGTCAAGCATTCCCAGAGACTTAATAAAGTGTTCGCCTCTGCAGTGCCTGAGTGCTCTACAAATAAAGAGGGTTTTCATGGTATTTCAGGGATATTCAGCTTCCTGCAGTGCTATTCTTGTTTTACAAGCAGGGAGCCCTAGCACATGCACATTAAATATAAGAGAATCCAGTCTGAGAGGCCCAAAACCTGACTACGTATATACACATGTGCTTCAAATATAAAGCTTGTGTTTAGCAAATAGAGAAGGTCACAGGTTGTGTCATGTATTTCAAAAGTATTAAAAAACATAAGCAAAGGGAACCCAAATTTAACACAAAGCAACCACATTTCTTCATAGATTTGTAATGTCTGAAGCTTAAACTGAAATTACCTACAAAACTGTATCTGTTTGTACATGTGTATATGCATATAAATTCTAATACTGATACTTGCTACAAAAAACATTGGCTCAGTTCTGTAAAGGTTAGTGGGATTAAGAGAAAGAAAAGGACACTAACAGGAAGGATCAAAATTTTAATCTACATAGGATCGGTAATGCTAAAGCAATTTGGTGAAAGAATATACATGAACTCTTCGTCCTGGCATTTCTGATTTCAACACCAATGGATGAAAAAGCAAAAAGATAGGTATTGAGCAAAGAGCCATTGTGGAAACGTAGAGGCAGCAACAAAGCTTTGACTTAGCAGAAAATATTTTCTGTTGAAAAATCATTCCACAAAAGAAAAAAAATAAAATATCTGATTTAAGAAGACTATTTTCCTTCAAGGAAACCAACACTGAGAAACACTGAAAGTCTTCATTCCAGGTTAGATTGCCTCTGTTACAAACGAAAAAAATACCATGAGCATTTTGTTAAATATAAAAACCATTAAAAGGCTTTCACCTCTCCAGCATCTCCTCCCAGCACTCACGGCTCTGACAAGGCTCCCTGAAGGAGACCAAGAACACAATGTGTTTGCTATAATGCATTCTTCTGCATATACCTTAGCGGCTATTACTGAAGACATCCATAGTACCAGGGCCAGTACAGCACTCAAGATCAGTAAGAAAATGCAATTTCTGTTGAAATGTGCATTAAAAAATTTAAAAAAAAAAAATCCATTTGAAGACTGTCAAACATTTTAAAATGGAAACAGATGTTCAAGTGTTACATTTTCCTTTGCTCTGAGTAGAAGTGCGGAAGGCAGCATCCAGGCTCCATTTACCCAACAGCCTAGCTGAAGCTCCTGCACTACAAACACTCTATTTTCAAGGTTACGCAAGGCCCCAAATTGCTGCTGAGCAACCACCCACAACTTTAACCCCTAAAAACTCTTGGGGGTATTTATTCAATAAGCCATTGGCAAGATTTACAGAAGCAACCTTTGTTTCTATGTGCTTGCAGCACTGGTTGTGGCCAGGACTTAGTTCAGGCGTGGATGGAAATTCCTTATCGCAGGCTAAGGGTCTCCCTACAGAATTCCCAAGTCTGTATGTAGACAATCTGTATGTAGACAATCTGCTCAAAGCATGATACCCTGAAATGAGCTGCAGAGTATTATGGTCTTCAGTAAGGAGCCCAGTAATGACCTTATATTACTCGTTCTACTGGAGTGCCCACATACTGTTGGGTTTAGCATCGCACTGGCATTTCCTGGAGAGCCAGCAAGCTTTCAGTCCCTGCAAACGCTGGAGCCTGCGCCATACGGGACTGTGCACACAATTACGGGAGACAGACTCACTAACCTTGCATTTCGCAGTCACCCTTCAGCAAGCAGAAGGCAAACATGGATTTCAAGGGCTATAAGCTGAAAGCCACCATCTCAACATAACAAAATCACTGCATTTCTTATGACCTCAATCGGGACGCTTCCCTCGCTCCCCTCACTGCCCAGCCACTGCCAGAGCGGCAGCCTGCTGCAGGCTCTGCTCAGACAGGCTCTGCTCAGTGCTCTCCCACCGGCGGCTTGTGAAGCACTTCTGGGGAACTTCACTTCTTGAAGAGATGACAACACACTTGCATCTCTATCTCCTGATCCCTCCCTCACAGGAGGCTGGATGAAAGGCTTGTTCTCCAAGGTTTCCTGGGAAAATCTTCTCAAACACACCAATAAGAATACACCCTTTGCAAGGAACCACTGTCGGAGATGCTCTAGAGAGCCAGGAATGCCAAACTGCAAGAACATAGCTTGAAACATTTTAAAAACTGCTTTAATAGCATCGATAATAGTAAAAGCACTGAACATCATGTACCAAAGGGCTACAGCTTTCATCTAACGGGTGCCACCAAGGGGTCTTGCAGGTGCTCCCTCACCCCACATCCAGTGGCCACCGACCGCACGGGGATGCGTGGAACACACAGATGCCATACAGGCACACCTGACTTGGGACCAAACCAGCCACAACTTCATCCACACGGCAGAGAGAACGATGCAGGAGACAAAAGTATTAATCCTTTCTCTGCAAAAATATCTAGATGCTGCCTTCCTCACAAAAAATGCTGTATCCAGTAGACATAAAACAAGCTATCATTCCTAGGTGGGAAAATAAAACGTCACTATTTGCTTTAGATATACAAACGGTAAGTACATAAATTCATGTTTTGCAATATGCGCAAGAATAATAGCTGCTTTCTTTTCTTACAGAAAATAACACCTTCTAGTAGCTGGAGCTCACAGCTGTTAAATTATGTGCATTACCATCCACCAAACTCCAATACCTCATTCCTTTATCTTTGTAACATTGCTGAAACATTGAGAAAACAATTATATCATTACCAATAACTGTGGAAGGCAAACCTGCCATAAGACAGGCTTTCAAAATGAATACAGGCGCATAGCCTGCAAAAAGCTTATTAACTTCTCAGTTTAAACCACTTAACTAAGCAATTTGCTCTCAGTATTTTTATTACTCTTCATATTAAGTGTAAAGATTATATAGGAAATAGTTCAAGTACTACCATAACACTTCCCAGAAGCAGCTCCTGATTACGGCTGTAGCGCACTGATATCGCCATCCTGCAGTAATGCTGTCACCACGCACACTTCTCTGCACAAGCTCTGGAGTTCACACACAGCCAGGGATGTTATTGGGTTAGCACTGATCACATCAATCAGAAGTAAGATTTAAAGAGGGATGGAAAGATTTAGAAAGATGGTTGGGGGTCATCATGCTCCTCCCTGCAACTCTTCCACCCGAACAGGAGCTCAGGGGATTTCTGAAGAGGTGGCAGACAACGCTGAGCATGCTGCCGGAGGAAGAGTTGGATCCACCTGAGGATTTCCTGTGAAAACAAGCTTGAGTATGCATATATTGTCCAGGGGGAAGAAAAGCTTCTTTTCTCTGTGCTACTCACAGACCACAAACGTGGCATCAGACTGGGAATGCCCCTGTTCTTGCCAGGCACACTTCTCAGGCATGCCTCCCTAACCCGCTGCCAGGTACACTCTTGTTTTATATCTGAAATATTGTATGTGATAAAATACGTTTATGCATGTTTAAAATATTTCAATATTTTTAAGATACATAAAAAAACAACAGGCTGTCGCTCTGCTGCACAGAACACCTCCCTCACCATTGCGCCTGTCCTTAAAAACACGCTTCGAACAATGCATCCTGTCTGGGAACACAGCTCAACTATTCCCCGTGGCATCCCAGGAGGAATGCATTAATATAATGGGGTTTCGCCCATGGCATTCTCATTTCCAAGCGCTGCTGAGCAGCACTCCAGTTGAGCATCGGGCAATTCTGGCAGGAGGAGAAGGCAGCTTACTGCAACGGATTGTTAAAACATCAAAATATGGAACAGATTCGAGTGGTTCAACATGTTTCAATACATAACAACATTCACTGCTAATTAATCAGTCTGGCAAATGAACCCAAACAGCAAGGACCTCTTCCAGCACACTCTCACTGAATCTCTGCATTACTGGCATAATACAAGAAAACTTCCTGTGTGCTATACAGTTGCAAAATAAGTACTTTATAGGGCAAAGACCAATGTAAGAGGGGCTCTGCTGTCAACCGAATGGACACTACCTTCGATCTAAGAAAGAAACAATTGACAGCAAGCCATTAAGAATGGCTTCCTAATTCTGAAATTAAGAATATATGTTAGGGGTTTAAACATCAGTAGCATTTTACTTCTTAACCTTTTCTATGAAACAACTGGTAGTTTAAACTACTACTGTAGCACCAAAACAGAGAGATTCAGCTTTACTGCAATGTATTTTCTGTTCTTTTCCAAGTTAGCTCTTCTGTTAACAGCTGTGACATACCCGAGTTACGCAGATTAATGGAATTTATTTCACAAATATCATTGTGCGTAACTGACTCTTAATGAGATGATGGATCAATTGCTCTTCTCTACTGATAGCTGTCTACACAGACCACACCAAATTCTTAAGATTAGCAGTCAATAGGAGAATTATACATGAACTGTGTTGGCAATTTCTTGTTTGAAAATAAACCAAGTATGTTGGGAGTGGCTGGCCGCTTCATTCCAGAAGTCAACAAACAGTTATGGAATAATCTGTTACAATCATCTATAATTACACACGGTCTTTTCTTTCTTTAAAAGTAATTTAGAGGATGAAATGCACTTTGCCATCAAGGTTCAGATCAAGCAAGAGATTTTCAGCTGAATGGAATGAAACCCTTACTTTAGAGAATGGTTTAAGCATCTCTGGGAGATGCATTAAAAAAAAAAAGGTAAGTACTTAATTATTTATCTCCTACTGACCTGGTATCAGCTGAGGTGCCAACACTACTGTAGGAAGAGGCCTGGAGGCAGCAGCTGGCCTGGCTATAGCCATAGCTACTTGATTTGTCATTAACAGAGGTTTCTCATTTCCCTGGAAGAGTCTTGATTCCTCAGGATGTATCCACGCTGAATCCAGAGCAAATGCATTATTCAAGTATATCTGTCCAACATAAATAAATAAAAGAACGTTAAGGTTTGAGACACAAAACTCAGAAATAAAAGTGAGAATAAAGTATCTTTAACAATATTACAATACAGATAGTATCTCAATTCAGGGACAAACTTGCAAAAATAAATTGATTTCTGCTCCATTAATGTTGCAGGCTGAGTCTAGCTGACCATCTACAAAATTAACTGGCTTTTAACACAACTAATCAGCTGATGCAGCATCACAAAAAAAAAAAATAGCTGAAGGCTGTCTCCCAGACACAGTTACTCTGGAGCAAGCCCATCTGCAATTCAGAGGCTTCAGCCGTCTTCTACATAGGAGAGATGGGGGTGAGGGAGGGAAGTGGGATAAAGTCACAAAGTTTTGTTTTAATTATTCAGCTAGGTAAATGTACAGATGTAGGTAACTGTGGGCAGGATGAGGGCACAGGACCACGAGTGACACCCTGGCGCCAGGGACATGGCAGCATTCGCAGTGACGCTACCGCTGCCAGCACTGTACCGCAGCATCCCTTTTGGGGAAAAACAGTGGAAGTACCAGGAAGAAAGGGCAAATGGAAAACTCTCATAATCACACCCTATAGTAAAATTATAACATTCTACTGAATGTAATAAAGAGAAGTATTAAAGATATTTTAGTCTTTTTATACCTTCAGAAAAGTGAAGCCGCAGCTACTACTGCTGAAGTAGCCTCCTCCATTAACCGTCCCTTACAACATACCTCCTCCACGGGGTTTTGCCTGACAAACTACTGACCTTTCGCATGCCTTCGGAATTCACAAAACCCATAACATTTTTCAGCCTATACACTTTAGCCTTAAAAATACTTCAACATACCAAGATGAGACTTACTTTGCAGTTTGGTAGCCTTTTATCGATCCAGTTTTTCCCAGCATGAGGCGGAACCGTAGATGTGTACACAGGTGGAAAAACAGGAACAAATTCCACGCTCGAAGAAGGTGAAAATCCTATGATTGGAGAATGAGCTCCAAATAGCCACTTAGGGGATAAAAACAGGAAGAAAAGTTAACAAAAGGATTTTACCCTGAGTAAACTGATGCTTTTCATCATTTCCTAATTATATAAAAGATGAGTACAGAAAATTTCAAACATGTCTCTTCAGTCCAACAACCATTTGTGGGTTTTTGGCATTCCATGGTGAGCGACACATGGCACCGACATTATAAACTGCTTCAGAAAGCCACAAATCAGTAGCCTGGCAGTAAAGCAGTACTTGGCTAATGGCTGCTAGTCGCCAGGGAAGCTTGGTTTTTCTCTGCTCAAACAGAATCTCACATACAAAACAAAAACATCACTAGAAAGTGTTTTTAAAATTCGTCTCAAAGCAAACAAGAACTAAAGGAATGTCAGAAATGTATTTCCTCTTAACTTAAAGTCGTTTGGCAAATGGGTTCCCACAGTAAAACCACCTCTGCAGTTTATTTAAGTGGTCTCACACTGGGGAATAATTGATGTTACTGTTTCATTAGACCCTGCACTACCTATTTTCTCCCTCCCACTCACTCTGCACCCAAACCACAAGAGACACTCAAAAAGGCTGGAAATCTTCACATGAAATCGAGCGGCTACTGCAGCACTCAAATCTCTGTTTTATTTTTACTTCTATCTAGTAAAAAATATAAAGACAAGGCAAAACTATGAATACAGCTTCCGATATCTCCGCTGCAACAGGATAAACACTCCAGCCGAAACACTTTACTATTTTAAGCAGCCTTACGGCAGCAATTAATAATTGAAATATTCGTCAGGGAAAGCAGTGATGAGACAGATTGGTTCAACTGACACGACTCAAAACTTTAGTCTTTATGAATATTCAAAAAAAACCAAAACACTTGACATTACATATGACTGCACGAGCACTGTTGGAGCATTTCTTCCTTTCTGGTCTCTATTTGCAGAAAACGCATCCTGCAACCGGCGATTACCGGATGATGGAGACGAGCCACGCTGGAGAGACCGGCAGACCCTCTCCCAGCCCTTCTCTTCCCGGGGAAAACACCACTGCAGGTTTCTAAACCCGGTGGAAGCTCCGCGCTCCGCGA